TTATGTGAGATTCGGAATGCCCAGTCTCGCCGTGAAGATGAGGACCAAATTGCAGAAGATCCAGTGCAAGATTTGGATGCTTCCAATATTTTAAGTGATATTCCGGGACATTCAAGGGCCAATATTGACGAAACCGATAACACAGCAATTGTAGAGCTCCAGGAAGGGACCGATAAAGGGAGAAAAAGGAAAAATAAATTAAGTGAGGAAAGGAATGGAGAGTCTTTTAAACGCCAGTGTATAGAGACTATTCAGGCTGAAAGCTCTAGCACTGTTAGTTCTCCCAACCATTCCTCGGTCGGCGAGGATGACTTCAGCAACCTACGGTAAAAAATGAATTGCCTGATGACTTTATCATCATCACTGGTTAAGTTCAGAGCGCAGAATTTCCTGTTGCTTTCAGTTCTGAGCAGCTAGCAGGCTTATGCACTCGCCACCAAGTCTGACACGCTCCGCCCGCTCATGCTCTGCGCCCCGTGATCAATCACGGGGCGCAGAGCATGTACGTGCGGAACGTTTCAGACCTGGTGGCGGGGCCATGGTTCTGCTAGCAAGGAAATTCCAGGTAAGGTGTAAGGATGAAAGGAGAGGGATGGTGAAAGGGAGAGGGAGGGGGGAGGGAGAGAGGGGAGAGGGAAGGAGAAAAAAAGGGCTGTCCTTTTTTCCTCTCCCTCTCTTCCTCCCTCTCTCTGTTTCCCCTTCCCTCTCCCTTTCACTATCCCTCCCCCTCTCCCGCTACTGGTCGCAAGATCAACCAAAACAGGATGCGATGACTTACATCACAAGTGAGTCCAGCAGATGTCGCCTCGCCGGAAAGAGACGACGCGCGAATTTGCCGAAGGCCTTTTCGCTGCATTGCGTCTTCTGGACATGGAGAAGCAATAAAGCGAAAAGGCCTTCGGCAAATTCGCGTTTTCTTGGTCTTCCCTTTGTTGTTCCTTTTGCAGTACACACGCACGCACGTTCCCGTTCCACATACATACAGAAGCACATACAGATGCACGCACGCACACGCACAAACACAGACACACACGCACACGCACACACACACACACACACACACACACACACACACACACACACACACACACACACACACACACACACACACAACACACACACACACACACACACACACACACACACAGGCGTGGAATTCATGTAAAAAAGAATGAAACAGGAACAACGAAGGGAAGGGCAAGAAAACACGAATATGCCGAAGGCATTAGCACTAGTGAAAAGGCCTTCGGCATATTCGTGTGTTTTCTTGCCCTTCCCTTCGTTGTTCCTGTTACACACACACACATGCATGCACGCACGCGCGCACGCACACACACACACACACACACACACACACACACACACACACACACACACACACACACACACACACACACACACACACACCACACACACACACACGCACGCACGCACGCACACACACACACACACACACACACACACACACACACACACACACACACACACACACACACACACACACACACACCCTCCCTCCCATACGCAAACGCACACATGCACAACACACACACACACACACACACACACACACACACACACACACACACACACACACACACACACACACACACACACACTCCCTCCCTCCCATACGCAAACGCACACATGCACGCTCACACGCACGCGCGCACACACTCGTACTCCCAGTGGGCCACTTTCCAGGCCAAGAAGGGCGCGACTCCTCCGATCTCTCTCCGGCGAGGGCTCGGCGTATTCGAAATCACCGTTCTGAACTTAACCAGTGATTATGATACTCTTCCGTGGATTGTTACCTTGACGAGGTGGAAGAGCTTGTGTACCTTAAGGATTCTGAGAACTAAACCATCGGTAACAAGTCTACAAAAATCGGGTACGAGAGAGACGAGTTCCGGCAGGGGCACCCATGGTGGGAAGATCTCAGGAGAAAGGGCAGACGAAAACAATCCGTGTGATTTAGGGGGATACAGGGCTAATGGTATGTAGCCCCTCTTGTGTATTTTGTGATGATACGATTGAGTTTTTGCAATAGTATTTATATTTTTATACTAAGATGTCAATTTTCTGTAACTTTTTATAACTCTATGATCAATTGTATATTATGTAATTTATCATCAAATATTAAATGGAGAAACATTCATTTGGCAATTATTCTTAGATCCATAAGTAAATTCAAATTCTAAAAGAAACATATCTCTTCCGGAAATTGGAAAAAAGAATACTATATTAAACTATACACATACAATTCCACATCCACGCTCTTCCACACACTCGGATGCACACACTACCGTCAACACCGAGGCAAGGTCTTGGGAGTCGCCGATGTAGGAACCTCTCTGCACATCTACGAGCACAAAAACATACACATATACACTGACAAGCAAGCACACAAAAGTAGCTCTGCTAGACCCAAGAAATGAAGATCCATATACATACGATCTTTATTGACCATTGAATTGTTTTGATACCATGATGTATAGCACAACACACATTTGGAATTGAGGTTACAAATCACCAGAAATTATTGCTGTGAGGCGGTGTCAATCTGGCTCCGAAAATTATTTATCAATTTTTGTTCTTACAACACAGCCTATTGGCATACCTCGAAATGAGCATACTGAAAGACTAATCTTACACGGAGGCAACAGACAGACAGAAGACAGTAGGTAGCTAAAAATGCAGCCAGCTTTACTGGAGTTGACTAAAGAGATCCCGGGCCGTTCACGCCAGCCCACCAGCAGAGACTGCTGCCCCAATTAAAAGCATCCCCCGGGGTACAGACGATAGCCCATACTTTACCCCATGGCCGGAGGTCAAGTTACCTGCACTGGAATGTTAAGAAAAATATGTATAATAATAAACAATAAGAAGGATATAACATTACACAAGAAAAAAAACATATATATCAAACAGAACAATAAATTTTCAATGAAAAAAACAGGAAATAACATACAATAAAATGTTACTTAATTCCAAAATCTAGCTTTTATCAAAATATGAGTACGAGATTTTTTGGAGAACTATGGAAAATACTTATAAATACCCAATAGTAATAATTCAAATAGCATTACTAATATTACATGAATTTAAGCATGTGGTATTAAGTGGCCCACATAAGAAACACTTGGAACCACATTTTTTCTACTTAAATCCATACGCGAAATCATTTATTGAAGACAGCTTGAACTAATTGTCCATCAGAGGGTTGACACAAACTTTCTTGTATTATCAACAAAAATCCCCGTTATGGCAACGCTTAGTCCTATAAAGTCAGGGGATGGCCTGTCTAGAGAAGAACCCTACAAATGCCTATACAGTACAATATTTGGTAATTTTTAGATATCAAATTTAACATCTTTAACATTAACATTTACATCAGTAAACCCCCTCACACGTTTTCTTTCACCAACGAAAAAGTCTACTGCACCAAGGGTGATGGGCCGGTAGAATTATCATAAAACAATTGCCTTACACTCTCTGCCGTGTACTCATAATTGCCTTTTTAGATACGGTTTCGAAAGAGGGAAGTCCATATAAAGTTATTTTAAAAAATGAAAATAAAAAAGGAGGAAACAACTATAAGGGTCTTCAGCTGTTAGCGACTAAGACAAGTGTACATAATTTTCCCTCGGCATCTTGCTTAAAATAGTAGTCATACGTTTTTTTTTTTTAATGTATGCATACTGAATAGTTTATCAATAGGTTTACTGGGTGGTATAATTAATTTACTGTATATTGGTGTTTAACCCAGTTAGTAAGACTGCTCTTTGGATTGATTTGCAGTCGGCGCAAATATACAAAAGAGGGTAATAGACAACGTATCATGCCAAAGCCTCCAGAGGGACATCGAGAACTTTCTCAAGTAGAGTTGCACTTGGAAAATGGAATTCAACACCAATAAATGCCATGTATTTACGTTAGAGGGTAGTAAAAATCGACCCTTATACCAGCATAAGTAAGGAGACAAAATTAGGCACGATTGGTAGGGAAAAAAGATTTTAGAATCATCATTAACAGAAACTCAAGCACAGATGATCATAAAAATGAAAAGATTCATATAAAGCGAGGGTTAATTGCAAACATGAAGGCATTCATAAATATGGACGAAGTTATAGTAAAGATCTTTACAGCCATCATAAGACCTACTCTCGAGCACAATGCCGTGCTATGGAGTCCACATTTCAAAAAGGATATTGACAAACTGGAAAGAATTCAGAAAGCAGCCCTGAGATGGGTACCAACTCCAAGAAACATGAAAAACGAAGACAGACAGAAAATAGGACTTATTACTTTTGATAAAAGAAGGAAAAGGGGCGACATAATTAATATGTACAGGAAGAGTAATGTTAAATAAAGATTACCCCTTTCATTCACCTGCACTAAGATCACTCCTGTCTCGTTGATACCTGGTGACAGTGGTCTTCACTTCACATCTGGGGAAGTCTCAGCTGATGGCAACGGTGCTCCCACTTTATCTTCACACACTTTATCACTTTACAAGATCACGCTCTCACCCTCAAAGTTTTGGATTTAAAGGAAGGCAGTAAAGGAGGGGTAACACAGCCTTTCAGCCGCCCTTTATTCCTTATGTATGATAAATGAAGCATTGCATGGTAAATAACTTGGTATTTCTAGTGAATATTTTTCGTCTAATACTAATAAATAATTTCACTTTAGAGCTATACGACACGAAATTCATCACATAAATGAATGAGTAAAATATCATAACCCATATTTGATCACGTTGCTCAATGTACTTGACCCTCACATGAAAATATTGTTCTATCCATTACCACTTTTTTCATCTCCTTATTACTAACCTCCTGTGTATGTTAATGCTGCCCAGTAAACCGTTTTGTGTACTGGAAACAGGGAAAAGGAAGTAAATTAAATTTGATATCTACTTTACTTCCTTTTTCCCTCCTACGCTTCTTCATTCATTAACACCATAATTATGTTCTTTGGTCATTCGCGTGAAATAAAAAAAAGTTATCATGGTAAATATATAGTGACTGAATGCAAATATATATAGGCCTACATGTGATCGTGTGGGGCTTTTCATGGTCCTTCCAGGTTGTATACAGCTAAACAACAGGAAATTGTGTTTAATTAATTGTAGTTTTTTCCTATATGAAGTCAAGATATCAATATATTAAAGACCTTCCGGTCAAGAATTTTGTGTGTACCACTGCACACACACACACGCACGCACGCACGCATGCACGCACGCATGCACACACACTCACTCACTCACTCACTCACTCACTCACACACACACACACACACACACACACACACACACACACACACACACACACACACACACACACACACACACACACACTCACCCACAGTACCGTCCGTTCGGCCTTAACTAAGTTTAGTTTGAAAGTGCGAAACATTATATAAGGCAAACAATACACATCCTGTGCATCACTCCGTGTAAGGAGAGAAGGGAGGAGAAGAAAGGCAAACGAAGGGCCTCTTCTGAGAGGGAAGAGAAGGAAGAAGTAACAAACCGGCGACGTCGTGACGGAGAGATCAACGAGCTACAAATGGCAGCCATGGATGATGGTGAGGAGGAATATGGGTTCTCCCAAATAGTTAGTAGAAAGGCGAGAAGGAGAATGAATAGAGTAAGACTGTCCGAGAACAGCGACAGTCATAGAATTCCTGGAGATGACGCTGCTGCCAGTGGTCGAGTTGAGGTAGGCCTACATCGGCAGTCAAAGCCGGGTAAGAACATGATTATTTTTTCCTACCGCTATTTTAAAAAGATATGAAGAAATGGTGTAATCGGCACTTTGTCTTCAAGATGAATTAAGCCTAAACAATCTGAGACTTCACATCGGAAATCGTGTTCCGTACTTTACATGCCAAAACATCGTGACCAAACTGACGACAGTGGAGTGGAAGGGAATACAGCTGCAGAGGCCGGAGAGTGGAGAGACACACACCAAGATTCCAATCAAG